TTGAGCACAAGCCAGAAACGGGACACGAGATTGAATGGTCGTTTTGCTGATTACGGCATGTCTGCGGCTAAACGTAAAATTAGAGAAACCATAGAAACAAACTGAATAGGAAATACCTCGAATTTAAGTAATACCGGCAAGAAGATGAGTAAAAACTATATGTGCTTATTTAATAGACTGCAGAAAGGAGGCGACGCAACTAGTCTTTTCTTATTTTGGTTTTAGTGATATTCAATTCTCTGTAGTTTTAGCTCACTCTTTCTCTCTCGCATTGAGACCAAAAACTAAAAATAGGCTCATCAACAAAAGCAGACGTGCCCGACCTTGCGCAATCGGAGTGATGATTCTAACTTAAATGTAAAAAGGGGAAGAATGGGGATCATCAAACCTTGATGGCCATAGACATCCTAATTAATTTGAGTCATCACTTCGGGTTTAGTGCATAAGCGAACACAATCATGTACATACAAATGCAGAGACAGACACACTCACATGCATAGAAGTTGACATATGAAATTAACTAACCAAATCACTTTATACTTGATCAAAGAGGTCAGATGCAGAGTAGATATACCATTTTTTAAGGATTTGCTGGTGAGTTTTATTGACTCGTTAGCTTTAATTTTGTTGCGACGATGTTACCTCGCTCTGAGGATGTCCGTCATATGACGGACGAAAACTTAGCACCTTTTCACCGGAATCGAAAAAGATTGCCTCGGAAACCGCGTCAACATGAATGTTTCAGAAAAGCCAATCGACAGCTGGTCAAGAGGAATTCGCCGTCGTCTTCTGGTGGAACCGACCTTCGAATCTCTTTCTCCCAACACTTTTACTCGAAATAGAAGTAAGCTCAACAATTTTATACGTTATTCATGTTGACGCAGTCCACGAGACTTCCTCCCTCGTTTCGGGTGAAAACGTGGGAGGAAGTCTCGTGGTCTGGGTCAACATGAATATCGTCTAAAAGACAAAATGTTACAGTATAACAGGATTTATCCGTCCTCATCTGGTGAGATGGACAAACGAATCTCTTCTTCATGCTCTTTCATACGAAATGAAGGTCCCCTTAACAGTTGTGTATTACCATCTCATATATCTGATCTGTTGGTAATCTAGACAGCCCATTCATAAGAGCGAAAAATACGTAGGATAGCGGATTGTTATGAAGAATACAACTGCGACCATAACACAGACCGCAACATCTTGGTCTTCACATATTCTAATACAACTTTGCTTCATCGACAATCTCATCCCATCCCATCACAGAATGTGATATGACAAAAGATTCATATAAACACACCAGACTTGGTTCGGCCTCGTTTTGACAA